TCGTAACCACTACGCTACCATTAATATGGCATAAATTAGGGTGAAGAGTAAGATCTTTTGAGCGATTTCTGTTTTCAGGAAGTTGAATGAAAATTGTATTCTTACGTACGACATAAAGCTGAACTGAACTCAAATATAAGAATTATTTGCTTATGTCTGCAATTAAACTGTTGTTATTCAATAGACTACTTATTAATAATTATGTTGTTAAGTCTCATTGAGTCCGTTTAGGGTTTCTGAGGAGGACTGGTGGGTTTGAACCTCCCACCTTGTAGTTAGCAGTTCAGTGCTTGTCCTGTAGCTCCACTCCAGGACTCCATTAATAAATACACACTCATTTTATTTATACAGCTTGAGAGTATACTCTTGACAGCTTGATAGGTGCAGTATCTCAAAACAATGGGCTAATTGTAGGAAAGAAATAATAACTCTTTAGTTGAGGAAATGGAAAGTACTCTCTAAACCTTCAGGTCTCCTGATTAGATCTGAGACTGGCAGAAGCAATAAAAAAAAAAAAAAAAACTGGAGTCCTGCTGTAGCGCTGGATAAAGCACTGGATCACATGGTTGGTTTGAACCACAGGGTTGGCGGTTCAAACTTAACAGCCGCTCCTTGAAAACCCTGTACAAGGTCGCTATGAGTCGGAACCGACTGGGTGTCACTTAACAACATGATGATGGCTCTCAGAATGGCCTGAGTGGCCATTTTATGATTAAAAGCTGGATTATATAAACTTTTAAGTTGGCCCAGATTTTTTTTTTGCAGATATTTGCAAAGTTTTACTAACCAGTGAAAATAAATGAAAGAAACACTTCTTAAGAAGAGCTTTAGAAAACCAAACAAGAGTTTACTTACAAGTTTTAAGTTACTTACTGTTTTTATGTTATATGGAGTCTGTTCCAACTCATAGTGCCCTGTATAAGGTTTCCAAAAGTGATTGGTGGGTTTGAGCTGATGACTTTGCTTGTCCTACAGTACCACTCCAGGATTCCAAGTTTCTTTTTTTTTTTTTAACTTTTTATTGTGAATTAAGTGAAGGATTATAGATAAAATCATCAGCTTTACATTCAACAAATTGTGTACTTTATTTCATCTCAATGATCACAATCCCCTACATGTAACAACAATAATTATCCTACTTTTTTCCCATTACATCTTGTATTTCACATTTACATCTTGTATTTCACAAATGAACAAAGCAAAAATATTTGATGCACACATAGGAAACAAAACAAAAACGTATATTCATTTCAATGTCCAAAGGGCATATTCTGCAAACCTGCTTCCTGCTATAGCCTTATTCAATCCATGGGCCTGAGTTTCCTATAGAAACTTAAAGCAGATTTTCATTAAGTTGTAAATACATCAGTAAAGCAAAAACCACTAAAGTAACGCTGTGTTAGATCTGTATATTTGTACATAATATGTAGCCTGTTTTGCTGTGTGTTTGATGAATTTTAAATATTTTCCTTAATTGCTTTCTTCAGTGAGTATTTTCCCTGTCTTGTTATTCTCTTTGCTTCATGCTACCACATATACTAAAAAGGTCCTTGATGTAAGTACAATGATGCTGTATTTTTGACTCATGAATAATGAATAATTGACGCAGATTTGAGAGTAGACTTGTAAGATACTCTCTTTCTTACAATCATGTTCTAAATTATTTAGTGATTTTGAAAGTTTGAAATTGGAAACGTTATTGGTGATGTTTCATCAGAGTGCATTTTATAGATAAAGGATTATGTTATGAATTATCTCTCAGTCCCCAGAACTTTGTGATAGATCTCTTATTACTAGTTAGTAACATTAAAGTCTATTGTTTTCCAAATTTATGCACTAATGCCAAAAATGAATAAGTTGATGATTTCTACCAAATTCTGCAGTCTGAAATGCATCAAACTTGCAGTCAAGGTGCATTGATAATTATTGCATATAAATGCATGCAAAAGTTGGAAACAAAAAATCAGTAGTTGGGAATATGGCCTAGAAACACCAGATTTTCCAAGGAATGACTGGTGAGCGTGAATCACTGACCTTGCAGTTAAAACCAATTACAGTCCAGCGCATTAACACATAGCACCACACCATGACTCCAGAGAGTGCTTGGTAGAATTTGCAAGGCCTATATCATGTATTCATTGGAAATACCTTTTTCAACAACGTTTGGCAACTTTAGATGTGGACCTCACTAGATGGAATACACTGGAATCCAGTGGACTATATCTGTGGAAAAAGAACACTGGGAAAGTAATATCATCAGGCACAAGGTCTGTGACCAACTGTGGAACAGATCATCAGTTGTTTATATGTAAGTTCAAGGTAAAATGGAAGAAAACTTAAAAAGTCAATAAGAGCCAAAATCACAACGTCAAGTATCTCTTTCCTAATTTAGAGACTCTCCCAAGGATAGATTTGACATTGAACACCAATGGCCCAACATCCAGTGAGTTGTGGAATAAACAATAAAGACATCACACATGAAGAAATCAAAAAGTCATTCAAAAACAGGAAAGAAAAGAAATGGATGTCAGAAGAGATTCTGAAGTATGTTGTTGAACTTAGAATAGCCAAAGGAAAAGGAAGAAATGGTAAAGTGAAAAAGCTGCATAGACGATTTCAAAGGTCAGCTCAAGAAATAGTAAAGGAATCAATTAGTCCAGTGGACTAATGGAATATGTGAACATCAGTCTCCATGACTCTGAGACCAGAAGAACTAGATGATGCCCAGGTACCACTACCAACTGCTCTGAAAAGGATCACATTAAGAGTCCTGCATAGAGTAGAAGAAATGTGGGACAAAACTCAAAATTATTTGATGCTTTTTTTTTTTTTTTTAATGGGTTTACTGGTTTAATGGTTTTTTTTTTTAATGGTTTAATGGTGTTTTTTTTTTTAATGGGTTTACTGAAAGAGGCTGGAGGAACTTGAGACTATGGCCCTAGACCACTTTTCTGGTCTGGAAAGGAACTTACCCTTATGGCCCAATTTTCAACCAAGCAGTTGATAGATTTATAGGGGCACAACAACAGTAGCAAGATATACTCAGTCATTACTTAGAGCAATATATGCCTAGGGAAAAAGTTGAGAAGGGATAGGGAGATGAGTGGAATGCAAATTGGAAGCACAGGGAGGAGCTGGTTGTTAGGTGCTGTCGAGCTGGTTCTGACTCACAGCTACCCTGTGCACAACAGAACTGGTCGTATAGAGCCCTTTGCTGCTGCCACTGTGCCAGTCCATATTGTTGGGGGATTTCCTCTTTTCACTAACCCCTCACTTTACCAAGCATGATGTCCTTCCCCAGGAACTGGTTCTTCCTGATAACATATCCAATGTAAGAGAGACAAAGTATGGCCTTCTGGCTTCTAAGGAGCCTTTTGACTGTACTTCTTCCAACACAGATTTGTTTGTTCTTCTGGCAGTCCATGATACTTTAAATATTCTCCTCCAAAACCATAACTCAAATGCATCAATTCTACAGTCTTCCTATTCACTGTCCAACTTTCCCACGCATATGAGGCTATTGAAAATACCATAGCTTAAGTCAGGCGCACCTTAGTCCTCAAGCTGACATCTTTGCTTTTAAACACTTTAAAAAGGTCTTGTGCAGCAGATTTGCCTAATGTGTCATTTAATTTCTTAACTGCTGCTTCCATGAGTATTGATGGTTGATCCAGGAAAAATGAAGTTTTCAACAGCTTCAGTCATTTCTCCATTGATACGATGTTTATTGGTCCAATAATGAGGGTTTTTGTTTTCTTTACCTTGAGATGCAACCCATACCAAAGGCTGTAGTCTTTGATTTTCATCAGTAAGTATTTTAAATCCTCTTCACTTTCAGCAAGCAAGGTTGTATCATTTGCATATCACAGGTTGTTAATGAGTCTTCCTCCAATCCTGGTGCCACGTTTTTCTTCATAGAACCCAGCTTCTCGGATTATTTGCTCAGTATACAGGTTGAATAAGTATGGTGAAAGAATATAACCCTGTTGCATACCTTTTCTAATTTTAAACCATGCAGTGCTCCCATGTTGACAACTTTGATAGGTATCACGTTAGAAGGTCCTGGATAAAGTAATAGAAAATTGTAGAACACAGTTCAAAATGTTAAGAAAGACCAGAATTATTGGTCTGATAGAGATTGATAGAAACTCTTAGACTGAAGCCCTAAGACTCCTTTCAAACCTGGAACTGAGCCTGCTCCCAGAGATCAGCCTTTCTTTCAGTCAAATAGTTGTTAGGTGCCATAGAGTCGGTACCGACCCATAGCAACCTTATGTACAGCAGAACGAAACACTGCCCGATCCTGAGCCAACCTCACTATTGTTGCCACATTTGAGTCCATCGATGCTGCCACTTGGACAATCCATCTCGTTGGGAGTCTTCCTCTTTTTCTCTGACCCTCCACCTTACCAGACATGATATCCTCCAGTGACTGCTCTATAAAATGAGCAGGAAATAATGTGTGGTTTAAAATTAGGAAAGATGTGTGTTAAAGTTGTATCATTTCACCATAATTATACATTCTGTATGTTGAGCAAATAATCTCAGAAGTTGGCTATATAAAAAGTAATTCCACATCAGGATTGGAAGATATTTATTAACATATGCCGATGATATAACCTCGCTAGCTGCAAGTGAAGAGGATTTGAAGCATTTGCTGATGAAGTTCAAAGACTTGAGTCTTCCAATATGGATTATGCCTCAACATAAAAATCCTTACAACTGAACCAGTAAGCAACATTATGATAAATAAAGAAAATATTCAAGTTGTCAAGATTTCATTTTAGTTGGTTCCACCATCAATGCCCATGGGAGCAGCAGTTAAGAAATCAGTTGTCTCATATGAATGTTAACACTGGACAGTGGATTAGGAAGAGTAAAGCAGAATGGATTTTTTGAATTACAGTGTTGGAGAAGAAAATTAAATATACCATGAACTGCCAGAAGAAGGAACAAATCTGTGTTGGGAGAAGTACAGCTGAAATACTCCTTATGATCGAGGGTGGACATATTCTCAGGAGGGACCAGTCCCTGGAGAATGACATCATGCTTGGTAGAGGGTCAACAACAACAACAAAAAAAGCCCCTCAATGAAATGGAATGACAGTAACTGCAACAGTGAGCTCAGATATTGCCATGGTTATCAGGCTGGTGTGACAGAGCAGGGCTTCCTTCTGTTGAGCCTAGTTTCCTATGAGTCGTAATTGACTAGTCGGCATCTAACACCAAACATCATTCTTTGGTCTCAGTAGTAACTGAACTCTCTTAGTTAGCTAAAGGGTCACAGATATTTTAAATAGTCAGATTTTGTTGTGGTTGGAAAGAAATAACCACCATTTTTTGTCATATAATATAAAGAAAAATAAAACTCTAAACATGAAAGGGAATTCTTGAACTTTTTCCTATTAACTCTTGAAATAACACAGATTCAGTAATGCAAGCAAGTATATTAACTTTTGCCCTTAATTAGTTTGTAACATGTTGCACCACTATTTCCAAATCTTTTCTTTTGGAAATATTTCCTTTGGCTATGCTATTTATCTAAAGAAAAAGAATAATTGAATCATCAAAAATGCTTCATTGTTTAATGTTTCTTTTATCTCTCTTTTTTTTTTTTCAAGGCAAAGGGTTCCAATAGTTTGCCTCTACTGAGATCTGTCTTGGATAAACTAAGCACTAACCAACAGAATATTCTGAAATTCATTGCTTGTAATGAGATTTTCTTGATGCCTGCTACAGTTTTTATGCTTTTTAGGTAAGAATAAAAATATATTTGTTTTGAGAGGCTGATTATGAAGTGAAGATAATAAAGGTTAGTAACTCAGATTTTGACATGTGTAGCCAGTGGATCTGCCTAAATCACTCTTCACATTTTAGTAAAGCAGGACAATTTAGACAATGTCTTATTTCTCTTCCCCTTGTGATTTATTAACATTTTGAAAATTAATTTCAAAATTACTGCTTTTGAAAGACTCAGGAAATCTTCATTCTGTCGTTTTTGAGATGACTTTACTTATAGTAGAGAAGAATCTTAAATATTATGGTATCAAATTAAAATTTAAGCTGTTTATGAATTTTGCCTTTTAATGGTGCCATAATTGTGTACAAAAATCTACTTTTTGTAGTTTCTATTTTAGTTACAGAGGTCATATGTGCATAACGAAAACCTTTCGTTTTGGACATTACAATTGTAGGTTATATTCTTTAAGTCTTAAATAATGCACATTTCTACCCCAATGATTTTCAGTTTTCACTTTCACTAGTAATAGTGTAAGGATGGCATAGGACTGGGCCGTGTTTAGTTCTGTGATGCATAGGGTCGCTGTGAGTTGGAATGGACTCGACACCTAACAACAATGGTAATAGAAATTACAGATAGAAGCTTAAACTTCCTGTGACCATCATTCCTCATTGCAGTTCCATCCTCTCCTTCTGAGAAGTATCGTCTTCATTTGTTATGTACGCATGCCCTCCTTCCGTAGTTACATACGTCTACAGAAAACGTACATTGTTATGGAAGTTGGTTGGTTTACATTTTATTTTACATCATAGATACCGTAATGCATCAAATGTCTGCACCTTCATAACTTTTTAATGCTGACACATGTGCAGTTCTTTTTATTTACTCTAGTTTCCATCTGGCACAAATGGGTAAGTGCTTGGATGCTAGTCTAAAGGTTGGTGGTTTAAACCCAGCCAGAAGCTCTGTGGGAAGAAGACTTAGAGATCTACCTTCATAAAGATTACAATAAGAAAACCCTTTGGGGCAATTCTTTTCTCAGCAGCACATAATAACAACAGTGTTCCCTCATATTAGTATGCTACATTTAGTGAACATTGTTAGTGATCATTGAAGTTGTATCCAGAGTTTTCTTTTATAAATATTAATGAAAAAAACGTCTTTCTACCTGTCTGCTTATAATTAGGTACCAAATTCTTCTCTAATGTAGGTACCAGAATGGATTTTGCTAGAGTATAAACTTAGGTGCCTGCTATATTTAATTTGTTGTTAAGTACTAAAGCTATAAATCTTTACAAGAGCAGAAAGCCTTATCTGCTGGGTGGGTGGCTGATGAGTTTGAAATGCTGACCTTGTGGTTATCCTACACCACCACCAACGCTCTCTTCTATGATGGTTAGGAATGGTTATACTATCAAATCAGTTTGATTCATAGTGATCCTATATAAGGTTTCCAAAACTAAATCTTTACAGTAGCAGAAAGCCTCTCCCACTGAGCAGCTGAGTGCATTCAAAGACTCA